GAATACACCTACTGCTCAGCAGCCCATTGCAGACATAAGCAATAGGTACACGTCTCGTTTAGAATATCTTTGCGGGAATACTTGCATTAACGAAAGTCGGGAAGGCCAAAAACATGTGTAGTGACCACCGCAGGGGTCGAACCTGCAATCTCCTGATACATTGGTAATCGTAGTCAGACGCGATGCCATTTCGCCAGGCGGCCATGGTATTTTTGGAACAGTGATTGTCACGACATTGTGGCTTCAGCGCCGCAACCCTCAATCGTTTTCATCTGAAACACTAAGTAGAATTAGCGGGAAGAAAGAGGCCCGAAGCAGACGCTAACCTTGAATGGCCACATCGACCCCAAGCCCAGTAACGAATTCGGTGTCCAAGTACCGAGTGCAGAACCGACGACAATAGCACTTTAGATAGAAGCCAGTGATCACCGGTATCCAAACAAACTGTCATCTGGAGGTTCGCCTGAGGCATTCCGCTACAGTTCAGGGGCATGACCTAAGTATTAACTTGAGACTGGCTGGCAGATGGTGTGGTGAGCTGGCAGTTCTCAATTGACTGCCAGGCTGTGAAGATGAAGATGATCTATGAGATAGACTACCTGGTGACATGAGACCCGATCATGGCCGCGAGGGTGAACAGCCGCTTCACCTGCACCAGGTGAGAACCCAAGAAATTTGAAGGAGACACCCTATCCCCGAGCAGGGACTCGTGTGTAAAGAGGATGACATTGGTTGTGTGCCTTGCTGTAGTTTCCACTACCAATGGGAAGCTACGCGTATACGAGGCGACCTATGCGACCAAGTTTTACTGAATGGATTAAAGACCCTAGCACCCGAAGTTCTCGTGGAGTTTGGAGAATAGAGTGAGTAGTTCATACGCTTCGCGGCTTCATAGGTGTGTTTGGCTCCGGATCGCACGCCGAAAGGTGTTGAATGTGGATTTCTGAGAGTATTTTAGATCTGGATCAAGGAAGCAGGGATCAAGACTCACCTAAGATCTATTACCACACACGGTAAATGTGAAGTGCATATTCCCTGTCTTCCTGCACGTCTCCCTCACAATTTCAAATGGATAGTAGGTCAGCCTTCGATACAAAACCATGGTCAGCGACACGCTGATTCTCTGAGAAAGAAAAAGATCAAACAGGCCCAAAAGGTCTCCAACGCAGCCCATTCGTTCAGCTGGATTCGTGTAGTATCCACGGAGAAAAACGACAAGCAGCGCGTACTTATGCGACCCTGGTCAGTTCAGTACTAGCGCATGTAAAGTTCTGGTCGGACAATACCCATACTCAGCACAAGGTGTGTAGAGACATGAATAGTGCCACATACCGGCTGCTACGACCAAATCTGTCCAATTTCACGAGGCCTTCTCAGCAGAGGAAATTTTGTGCGAGCGTTGGGAGAAAGGATTCTGACCCTAACCCTACCGTAGCAGTAAACGTTCCTTTGCGCTTCCATCTGCGGCCTAGGCCTCTTAATGGTGTCAATATTGTCAGCTCACCCACCCGGTCGATACCATAAAGCTAGGAATATCACTATACCTTCTAGCGAAGCTCTACGACTCCTTATTTAGGATAACTTCAAGTTTCGAGGCTCAAGTTTTGTCTAGTTTTGTCAAAATTGCTGCAGGCTTATGACTGTTTTCACTGGACAAAAATCGTCCTAATCAGTCGAGTGATGTCCTTGGACCGGATTGGACCGAATTGGACGTCGTTCGACGTGATCCGACGCGAATGGACCGCTTGATATACGTCCGTTCACGTCCAATCACGTCCAATTCGATCCAATCCAGTCCACAGTCAGTCCAGGACCGCCAATTGAAGGACTGTAGAGGAATGTGTGAAAGCGGCTCCCGACCGCTATAAGGATGACAGGGATACTCTCTGGTCAGATGGAGGACCTTCCGCGGGACGTCCACGGCACGTCGACAAGCCGTCCCCGACGCATCCGAGATGCGTCCGAGCCATGCGTCACAGTCACAGGCCATTTACTTACCGAGATGTGCAACAGTGGTGAAGATTAATTTACACAGAGTCCCTTCTATTTCTCAGAACTGTCCAGCATACTCTGGATATGTGAACACTCCTATGCTAATTTTTCTTGTATTGTTAGATCCAAAGATTCAGTTCAAGCCAGAAAGATATCTTGGTGCAAACACATAAGCGCCCGTCCAAAAAATGTTCATTTGTTCACTGCATACCGTCTTCATCTCAGCCTGAGAGTCTTCTCCCCCCAAAATTGGAATATATACTCTGATAGTATGCAGCTAACGTCCTACATCCTCAAGACTCGGCTTGTAGTAGTCCAGCACACCTATTTTCATGCCATCACTGTAGTTACTTCCTGTATCTGTCATTTTCATTTTCGTTTTCTGCTATCCATACCACATTCAATTACTAGTAGTGAATCAGCTATCTTGACATGTATCTATACTTACCTTCGAATCTATTAATTCATGTATTATAATTTGTTCAAGTTCTTGTACTTGAAACTTACAAAAAATTAGCGGCTCGTATGTAAAAACATTTATCTCCGTGATTGAAATTTTGAAACCCCGGATACTGCGTGACAGCTCGAGCGTTCTAAGCGACGCCAGGAATACGTCGAGAATACGTCGGAAAGACGTCCGGTCGGGCCACAACACGGTCGGGTGTCGGTCCCTCGACTGCCCCCTTGGTCAAGGTAGTTTTGAAAGGACCTTACAATCCCCTCTCTTTTTTCTAGCACTGGAATGTCCTCGGACTGTCTATCGACGGGATAGGACGTGATTGGACGTAATCGGACGTCTTTCGGAATGTCCATTCACGTCCTACACCGTCCGATGCGGTCTCTTCCCGTCCACGGACCGTCCCGGACATGCTGGAACGTTCCCGGACGGCTTAGGACGATTTTTGTCCAGCAAAAACGGGCATACAGGCTGCAGGTTGCCAAAGGAATTCCTCATCGCACCTGACAATAGGTACAGTCGATACCAGCCTTTATGGTGGCAGATCATCATCGAAGAATACTCCAGCTGCTGTGCAAGCCCTAGGATACAACGATGGAACGGCGAGTATCTGCGTCAAGCCTGAGTTCAGAATCTTCAGATATGCAACTGTGGTGATGCTGATTTTGTTTGACCAGTGATGCATGATGGGCGGTAGAGAATGTTGTAGTTTACACATTAATAGCGATGATGGAACACACGAGTCGCATACATAGAATATGACCACATATTTTCAAAATTAGGACATTGGAGAATGATGCGCCCGACGGTCCGGGTATCACGGCTGTTCAATGGCTGAATATGTATGCCTGGACAGGTTCTTTTCCCTTCCTCCCATACGAGCTATCTCCGTCAACAACGAATCGGACTCAGGAGACGCAGTGAGAGCTCAGCGCTCAGCCCGTTCCGGTCGCATACAGAAGTCACGGTGCATGCTACGGTGTATCTTGATGATATTCCATCTGATTGAAAATGGTTTGTTCTAATGATTGTCCACGATTGACAAGAAGGAGCACCAGTACTGGATATATTCCCTGGAGAGTGAGGTCAATACTTATAAAACAAAACAGAGACGATAGAACATACCGCGATTTGAAGATTAACTGGCGTGTAGAGGTCTCCAAAAGTCCCGTGCGGTAATCGAATCAGAAGTCCAGCAAGAGCTGTGGCCTATACAATGTAAGACCTGTTCTATCAATGTTCTATGCTTTCAGTAACAGAGGGCCTACCCCAGAAAAACAATACAACAGCCCAGATTCGACCAAAAGCGCAAGGATTCGTTCGGCGCCAACTTTCTTCCGAACTCGGATAGCCTGCAGATCATCTAAAACCCACCGACGGAAGCGCCTGATGAAATGTCAACATCGTACTCAATGCGGGATCTCGAGGAAAGATACGCGCCAGGTTTTCAATGCAATGATGATGGTTGTTGAGAGGTTGACGATAAGTGAGAATAGCAGGTTGCCGACTTGGCATATATCAATGGCTCGAATCAATTTCGGCCTCCTTGGGGAATCCAACGAATGAGCTTCAATTGTGATTCGTATGACTATTGTGGCCGCCACCGTGCCTAAGCGATGATTTATCCTTGAGTTTCAGGTGTGTAGTTTGAGGCACTTACAGCAACAACAGCCGAGAAAGAAGATGGGAAAGTAGAGCATCCTTCTATTTCGCGTCTCCATACTACACAACACCCAGCTTCGCCATATGACGACGCAATCCGTGAGCAGATACTGGATACATCGATTCGATTTCAATGAGTAAGCATAGCAGTGTACGAAACCAGTTCCACTCACATTAACCAAAGCGAAGGCAGCAAAGATTGTTAAGAGTGAGCCACGATCATCGGGCTCGCCAGCAAATAGTCTCCCAATATCCGTCAATAGGTCGTTGATCTTGAAACCCCAATAGACAGTCGATACCATAAACATGAAAAGTGTTGCAGCAAACAAGAATTTACGGATATTCGTATGAAGACCCTTCTTCCTAAAGATGATTGGCCGTGAGTCAGCTTGATGCCAATCGAGGTGAGTACTTTGCTTACAACATGAAATATGTCGAGAAGGGAATGAGTGATGCATATACGCCTAATATTCAAGCTTGTGTTCAGCAGTGATTCAACAAATAGAATGTAAGATGTTGAGGATAGCTCACCATAGAAGAAAGTCTGAGCTATAATCCCGCCGACCTGGTAAGTAATCTTGAGGACACTGATGGACACCATTACCTTCAATTAACAGCGCGCACTGCGCATCGAAATGGGGGTTATTCCCTGGGGAGGGATAGGCGACGAACGTTTTTATGCTTATGCAAAAGCTGATGATGTCGGTACCAGCGGGAAGTCACCATACAGCCCGCAGGAGATGTCAGATGGAACATACCTGCTGTACTGCCCAACTGCCCATCGTAGAAGCGATCAATGAGTCCGTGTTTCATTTAGAGTATCGCCAAGATGCAGATTTGCGGGAATACATACGACAACGAAAGTTGGGAATGTCAAAAACAAGTAGAATGACCACCGCAGGGGTCGAACCTGCAATCTCCTGATACCTTGGTAAGATCCAATCGTAGTCAGACGCGATGCCATTTCGCCAGGCGGCCTTGTAAACGTTTTGAGCAACGATTATTGTGTCGGCGTACGTTGTGGCTTCTGCGCCGCAATCTCGAATCGTCTTCGTCTGAAACACTAGGATTAGCGGGAAGAAAGAGGACCCGAATCAGACGCTAACCTTTAATAGCCACATCAGCCCCAAGCCTAATGAATTCGATGTCCAACTTGCCAAGTACCGACTACCGACTTTAGATAGAAGCCAGTGGTCACCGGTAACCAGACAAACTGTTATCTGGACGTTCTCCTCCCGGAGGCACTCCGTTACATATCTCCGCTACATATCTGAGCATGACCCACATAAGTATGTTCAGCTTGAAACTGGTTGACAGAGGATGGCTGTATGGTGAACTGGCAGTTCTCAATGACTACTGGGCAATGAAGATGAAGATTAGGAGTTGCAGTAACGATGTCTATAAGATAGCCTTACGTGAAGAAGAGAAGATAGCACGAGTCCCAATCATGGCCGCGAAACTGAACAGCCGCGTCGCTTGCACCAGGTGGGAACCAAGGAAATCGAGGGAGACACCCTATCCTCGATCGGGGACTCTCGTGTGTAAACAGGATGACATTGTTTGCGTGTAGCTTCCAGTACCAATGTAAAGCTCCGCGTATACGAGGCGACCTATGCGACCAAGTTCCATTGAATGGATTAAGGACCCTAGCATTTGAACTTCTCGTGGAGTTTGAAGAATAGAGTGAGTGGTTTGTGTTCATGGCTTCATAGGTGTGTTTGACCGAATCGCACGCCGAAAGGTTAATGTGGATTCCTGCGAGTATTAGCATCTTAAACCTAGATCAACAAAGCAGGTATCAAGACTCACCTAACATCCAGTACCACACACGATAAATCTGAAGTGTATATTCAGTCTCCCTGCACGTCTCCTTCACAAGTTTAAATGGATAGATCAGCTTTCGATACAAAATCATGGTCAGCGACCACGATGATACACTGAGAGAGAAAAAGAGCAAATAGGACCAAAAAGTCTTCAATAAAGCCCATTCGTTGAGCATTCTGCTGGATTCGTGTAGTCTCCACGGAGAAGCAAGTAGCGCATATGCGACCTCGTCGGTTCAGTACCAGCGCATGTAAATTCCTGGTTGGACAATACCCATATTCAGTACAAAGTGTGTAGAGACATAAATAATGCCACATACCGGCTGCCACGACCAAATCTTGTCAATTTCAGGAGGCCTTCTCAATAGGGAAAATTTTGTGCGAGCTGGTCAGAGTTGGGAAGGATTCTGACCCTAACCCTACTGTATCAGTAAACGTTCCTTTGTGCTCCCATCTCTGCGGCCCTCTTGGTGTCGATATCGTCAGCTCACCCATTGGGTCGATACCATGGAGCTTGGACTACTGCTATGTCTTTCAGCGAAGCTCTATGGTTCTTCTCTTGGAATGAATTCAAGTTTCAGGGCTGAAATTTTGTCAAAATTGCTGCAGCCTGCCAAAGGAAGGAACTCCGAATAACGACTCCGAGTTCACGAGTCCGAGTCATACGAGCCGACGACACGCCCTGGCTCAAGCCGAGCTTACTTACAACTGCAAGAAGCATTTAGCGCCCGGTAAAGCCTAGTTTTGAGGGAATGAATCCTTGCTTCAAGCTTCGAATACCGCATACCGGAGACCGGTCAGGAGCCCCATCTGCTTTGACTGCCTGGAACAAAAACAGCACGGTCACCGAACACTTCCGAGAGGCTGGACCGTTATCCGGAGACAAAGGAGCCTTCCAAGAATGGATATTTCTCAGTCCAAGCGTCTAGCGTTTCGAGCCACAGCACCGTTTCAGTATGGCCGGTCAAAGAGTTATGAGGTATATAATGCGAGCTCGCCTTTGGAGGCTAACCATTCTATTCGCTCGCTATGGCTTCTCATAACCAGTCTGATACTTCTTGTTATAACACCGTCGGCGTTGAGTATCATTTTGGGTGTGTTCTCGATTTCCCTTTGTAGATGGCATACTTCAAGACTGACTCCCCAGTAGGCTCGACATGCTACCATCTGCCTCTTGGCCCTCGATGATTGTCTATCCTGAGAAGGATACTGCCACTTCCAACAGCGAGGACACGGAACTGTGCGTTTTACAGGTTCCTCATGTTGCTGATAGACACTAACGATTGTCTTCATAGATGCAGAAAATTGGCCGCTCAGGGGATGAACGAATTCTCTCAGGGTGTACTAACAGACGCTATGTTGTGAGCCTGGTCTATTCCTTCGCCGAGATCATCTCTGACAGCTTTATCCAGCGAGGCCATAGTTTACGAGACGTTCCGGACGTTCTCCGAATGCGAGGCTTCTGACGCTCGCAGGCAATCGTCTGCGAACCAAATGTCCTCCACACGGCTCTCGTTTCCTATTCCTTCCAATTCACAGACAACCTCCGATCAGTCTACAAGCCCGAATGCGGGAATCCCAGACCTGAAAGACTACGCCTCTTTTTGGGGCTGGTTTGAGACAAGGCGTTGGAATGAGCTCAATATTCGAAGCTGATTCGTGGATATCAAACAAATATTCTTCATCTCATCATGCCCTTTCACTTCGCTGCATAGTAACTATAACAATATAATAAGATAACAAGTAGTAACCCAAGTAAATACAACACAAACAGATATCAAAACCACAGATTGTAATACAGCACAGCACATACAATAACACTAAGGAAATGATGACTTGTCTTTCAAAGCCCACGCTTCTCCCTCTCCTTCTCGTCCATTTCTGCTATATCTGCCAGCCACTTGTGCGAGCCATTCTTGCTGCAAAAATGGGTTTCAAGATCTTGAACTTTCTTCCCGCATCCCTCCAGCTTGCACTCGATCTTTTTGCCTTTCTTGTGGTTCTTCGGAATGTGGTCTCTGTATACGTGCTTAATGAACTTTGTGAGGCTGTGGTACTCCTGTCCGCATTCTTTGCCATCGGTAACCCAGTAGCAAGGAACGATGGTGTAGTCGAACGGCACTTTCTCCTTGGTGGTCCTGAGAAAACGATGAGAAAGATGAACAATCATCGATTTGAGTGAGGTACTAACCCAGTGGAGGAGGTAGTGGCTTTCGGAGCGATCGATTCCCTTTTGGTCGTCTTAAATTCCCCGGTAGTCAAAGGGCTAGCGATGTCGTTAGCTCTGGTACTGAAATCCGAGGAAACGTCACATACTTGGCCACTGCAACTGCAGTCAATGGTGCGTCATCTTTCTTGCGGTTGACCTTCCGCTTCTTCTGCTTCAGAGGCACCCTATTATGGCTTGTCAGTCAACGCAACGGTTACAGAATAGATAGTACGAACATTGTAGATGACTCTTCCCGGGCACGCTCGCCATTTGCGGGTGTTCCTTTGTTCGTGACATCTTTAGAAGCGTTAGTTTCTTCATCGGCACGTTTGCGCTTAGTAGTACTGAAGACACAAATCAGGGAAGAACGCAAATAAACAAAATGCAGCAGACACTCACGCAGTTGCAGAGACAGGATCCGAGGTGACGTCCTTGGAAGGTTTGCGATCGTCGGTCATCTTTGGAAGCTCAACAGCAACAGTCTTGGTATCCTTGTCAAGGTTCTTAACAGTAACTGATGACCTCCTGCTTTTGGAGTTTTCGTCCTTCGGAATCTGCTGAACTTCGGCGTGCTCTTGTAGCCTATTGACCAAGGGAAAACGAGCAACTCTTGATCTAGACGGCAAAGAAGATGCTGGATTTTCAGCCAAGCTACAAGCACGATTGTTAGTGAGGGCCAACATAGCAATGGCGTCAGAAACTCACGTAGAAGCCAGGTTCTCCTTCTCCTTGGCCGACGAAGGAGCATCAGGACCTTCGGTCTCGGATCCCTTCACAGCTACGGATACATCCTCGAAACATTCTGCGTCTCCTTTGTCGATATGAGCGATCCTCGATCCTTCACGGGCAGCCTCTACTTCAGCTACGTCAGGGTATGCGAATCCATCCCTGGATTCTTCAACGTCAGCGCCGGTGCCAGCCTGCTCATAGCCATGTTACTTACGGAGATGAGAATGTAGGCCTAGGCTGCGCCAGATCGAGCATAGAAAGAGGAACCATGATCGTGGTTGGAGGTTCAGGTGAAAGTTGAACCAAAACGAATGTCAACTTGATGTAATCTTGCCGGGATGGACGATGGTCCATGCAGAGCAACCTTATCGAGAGGACAATGAAGATTTCGGCATCGGGCCACGTACATAGGCGCTGGGGAATCGTCCACTGGGAAGGACAACGAGCAAAGGACCCTGAATCACACTCTGGTCTCCAGTAATCCTGCTCCCTTTCGCCTTCGCTGCGAGAAGCTTCGAGCTGTGACTGCCCGCATTGAGCAACCGTTCCGGATACCTGGAGAATCTGCGGTTGTGTAGTATCCGCGCTCTTTGCCAGTTCAAAGCAGCATATCGAGTCCTGAACGCGTGAATTAGTCAGCGAAGAGACGATCTGTTCAATCTGTGAGGACGTACGTTCAAACCAACGAAACCATTCCTGGGGCCTTTGAGTGAGTGGACAAACCATCGTGGAAGCGGGGGGCAGCAAAATGACGATATCCATCGTTTTCGCTTTTCCCCTTCGTCATGAGATGTCTCGTTAGGCATCACAAAAGCTACTCTGCATCATCTTCAACTGCTTTCTTGAGAGTCTGAACAGCTATTCCTTTGGTGAAACCTTGGAAACGGCGTCTTCGGATACAGGAAGTTGGGATGGTGACAAGATGGTGAACAACGCGATCTTCAAGCACATCTTCGAGAACACTTTCTGGCGGAAAATAGTCAAGCACTAGTTTCATCATAGACTCAGGATTTCTTCAGGATACCAGACTGGGATCAAGCTCACCAATGTTTTCGCTCCTTCCACATTTTTCGCCGCTTTATCCGGGTGTTTGAGCTTGACTGATTTCAATGGGCATATCCCCGGATTGTACAGAGCTTGAATCTAAAAAAAGCGCATTCCTATGTGTGAAGGGGAATCAGGGAAACTTAAGCATTCAGTCCTTTGATTTATGAACG